GGTGATAATGAACAGTTTGTGAAAGTAAGTATGGACTTATAGTACAGACTAGCATGTCAATCACATCTTGTCACTTGAATAGAATCGAACTTCTTTTCATTTACCGAGTCTCACTTTTTGTTCGTACGTTTGAAACGCTTCGCACGCGCGGCTTTACCGCCGCGCACGGGCGGCTTTAGCGGGGCTTGCCGCTCAGGTCCTGCCCGGCGAGTCTCCATTTGCGCTCCAGCGAACGAAGTCAAGTGGTCAGCGCCGTTTACCAGGCACCATTGTCGGGTTTGGTTTAAGATTGGTTCTAAAAATGAAAAAACAACTTGCCATGCATGTGTTTTTTTGGTGTGATTGGGTCATGGTCATGGCAGCGACAATGAACACATTACTGTAGGGTCCAGTCCAGTGCATTTCGACATCCGGGCCTCGAGGTGTATTGCTGAACTCGCTTTCATATTATCTTGGCTTATCTTGGCTTATCATATATGATATATGAATGACTTATGACTGAGGATAGGCTCAACATGGCTGTAACGGTCAACAGATTCACTCCAGGACAACGGACGGTTTCATCGTGTTTGCTGAATCTGCAAGGCCAAAGGATCGAAAGGCCGAAAAGAAGTGTTGCTGAGGACACGGGTCCAATTTATACTTATTTGATTATAGTATATTATTGTACATTATATAATCTATAGATATTGGATGTTCTATAGATCGATACTTAGATTACATAAAGATATTTGTATTGGATATTCTATCATATATGCTCGTAGCAGATTTGATTTGTTCATGTTTATTCCTTGAAACTATGTGGCCTGCACATGTGCAACGGATCCTCAAGCGTCGATGAAGTCTTTGTTTCTTTGGAACTGGTCTTCCAGATCTCCCAGGATCTGTTGGATGTTTCTGTTCTAGCATATTACAGAGAGGTTTAGTTTTAGAGATTGCCTTTACTTGCATTGGGAAGCGAGGGCGGTAGGGGATGAACACCTGAATGTTTGGATGAAAGACAAGGAGTGAGGATGTGCCAAAGCTTTTGGAGGGGCAGGCCGAGCTTCATTGATCCAAACAAAGTATGTGCCTGTATGTTTGGATAGAAAAAAAGGATACACACAGACACAGACACACACGCAGAGATATGTACATATATGCACATAGCGGATATCAACAAATACAGCACATGTGTTGTTTTTATCGAAGTCGAGGGACAATAACACCAAGTTAGGCCCTCTTGTCGTTGTGCCAAGATGTTTTTTGCTGCGATCAATCCGTTTCACCCTGCGGTCATTAGCCGTTTGCAGCTGCTGCAGTCTCCTCCCGCACTCTCTTCCTCTGCTCCGGGGGCTCGAGCTGTCATGGGCACTGTAGGGGACCTCAGAGCTGATCATGTAAGCAAGATGAGTCAAGAATTCGTTCTTCCATGTGTGAAAGAACAGAGTGGATCACCAGCATTCCGCCCATGCAGCTTTTTTGCTGGTTAGTTGAAAGTCTTCGCTTTCATGTTGGTGCCGGCGAGGAACCTTTGGCCACACAAGCAGATTCAACACTGCGGGAGGCGTGCGACGTCGATTGGAGCTGTTTAAGCAAGTGGGATTGCTGGTCATGGGCGTTTGTGCTTCCATCATGGTGTCAACGAGTCAACATTGCTTAAGGTCGCGAACTGTTCACCTCGGCTTTTAGGACCTCATAGCTCCTAGTAGCGATGCCAGGAGCCCTCAGTAGCTTCTTGCTCCTAAGCAAGCCATTTACCTTCTTCACTATGTACGAGTATGATTGCTTCACGTGTACAAATATTATGTAAGCAACTCTGTCGTCGCAACCTAGACTGACAATGAGGTTCACAACTGCTCCAATTAAAGCATATAAGCCAGACCTGCACTAACAATGTGTAACAAGTTCAAGAGATATCAAGCGTATCGCGTTCATCGGCACCGAGAGCGGGAGCTGCATCGGTCAAAATCTAACGCCTTTGTGACCTTGTACTTCTATTAATATGCATATCTCCAGCAGTATATATATATATATGATTGTAACATGACATCCAGACAAGGCGATGAGACGATGGATGGGGCCACACAAACACTGTCGCTGCCCCGCTGTTTGCTATGTCTTGCCATGTCGTTGTCATTGTCATGCATACACCCAGCACTACAAGTTGACACTGGTACCATTCTACCACCAGTTGCACCATTGCACTCCTTTGGCATTCCCCTGAGTAAGATGCGCACCCAGCAAAAGTTCCGATTCTTTTTAAACGCAGTATTTGCATCCATCAACAAACAAGCAGCCAAAACTGAAGCTCCAGCCATGCTTGAAAGCAATGCAAAGACACACCACTACTACTCCTACTCCAGTTAAACTGCTGCTGCGGCTAGGATGACTACCACTACCATTGAAACTACGACTGCTGCTGTTTCTGCAAGTTCTCATTTCTTACTGCTGGATGCTACATGTTCGTTCTGTACTGGCTTGCTGCTTCCTTTGGGCTAGTTATATAGGTCGCTTTCTCATGTGCATACATGGTATATTCTGGTATCATAATAACAATAATATGCAGCGATGTTTAGAATTATAAAACACTTTCATATGGTAAGGCCAGAAAAGGCGAAAACATGTCAAAAAAAATCAAATGGAAAAGTCAAAGTCAAAAAACGTCAAATTTAAAAGTCAAAAAAACAGTCAAAAAAAGTCAACCATAGACCACAGCTCGAAAAAGTAAAAAACAACAGTCAAAAAAAACAAAAAAAATCAACCACTCGAAAAAGTCAAAAACAAATCAAAAAAGGAAAAAAAAAGTCAAAACAAATTCAAAAAAGTCGGAAAAATGTCAAAAACAAGTCGGATCTGGGCAAATTGATTTTTGTTTTGACTTTCTGAAATTTTCTGATTTGATTTTTTTTGATTTTGACTTTTGGGATTGACTGTTTTCTTTTGCTTTTTTTAATTTAGAAAACAGGTCTTTTCCAACTTTCATGTTATAAGTTTAGACATATTTATTGCCCCTGTGCCGACATGTTCCCTATGTTTCGTGCATATTTGCCCTTGAATTATTGCTTATATTGATGAATGTTCTTCGATCAGGTGTCGAAGACCTTTGGGGGCAACTTGGTCCCTCGAGCCCAGGCTGAGTGGTGCAATTCCAACAAAATGACACGATAGAAGTGGTATTTGTGAACTATGGAGTCTGTCAACCTCCTTCTTTGGTTTATGTAGTGCTGCCCTAGCAGGCAACATATTTCAGATCACTTTGGCAAGATGACAGTCAGGGCCTCAGGGTCTTGGATGCCTTCACGGGCTCCTTTCAGGTCTGACTTCATCATACTTCAACAGTTTCCTGGTGATGCAGAACATCAGGTGGTGTCATGGTAGTCCTCGATGAGGACATTCGACTTGGCAAGATCAAGGCTGGGATCACCGGGTCACCGACACGTCCGCCGCCACGGCGAAGAACCGCGATACGCATGTCGCGGGCGCAAAGCAAGCCGTCGTTGTTTGGGGTTTCGATATGGTTCGATGCTCTAGCTCTTCTCAGGAGCTCGGTGGGGTCACCGCCACAGATGTCTTTGATTTCATGGCCTGATCCTCGTGGCGCATGAAGCGAGTCTTTGGATGTTGAGCCCTGGTGCTCCAAGGTAGTTACCATTGTTTTTCCCAATGCCAAGCAGTCACCGCTGCCAAGGAGTGGTGGAAAACCGTTCCTGAAAGTGTTTCTCGCCAGTTTGCTGATGTTTGCTGGATTTGCCAGGTGGCTTGGTCTATTGGAAGGTGGCAGTGTAACCCAGGCCAAAAAGAGACTTGTTTACTAACAAAAAGCACCTTTATATACTCAGGAGCTTTTTGCATTGCTTATCAAACGTTCAGTCGCCCTTGAAATCCGGACACCGCAGGCGAACTTCTCGAAAGGCGCGCAGGCCATTGCCCGATTTCATGCATTGGGGCTCGAGGCTTGGACCCTTTTTTGAGAAGCTTCACTACTCCTGAAATCTCCAGACCCATGGGCCTGTCATAGGCCCATTCGGGGCAACCCCATGAGAGTGATGACTTTTCCGCACGAGCTGCGCTCGCTGCGCCGCTCGTCTCGACAGAAGCTCGGTTTCTCCGAGGCAAAGTCTTCCAATGCCGCATTGGTATGCAAATGTTGCACGCTGAGACGTGGCTGTTTCCGAGTTTTAGAACCCCTGGCCGGGCCAGTCCGCCGTTTGGTCTGAGGTGTACTCCAAGGGTGAACCCGAGCAGCAATTGCGGGGAAACTTATGTGAGTGAGCAGGACTTGTCGAAGAATGAAGTGCAGACATGTATAGGATTTATAAGGGACAATGACCACTAGAGTGTAAAATCCAATTGTATATAGGCTACGTCACCACATAGTAGTACAAGAGTTTGGTGCAGTTGCTGAATGTGACTGAAAGCTCCATGCAGTCACATTCTATTCAAATCGATATCCTCTAAAGCGAACCCCCTACTTTGCTGAGCTGGTGCCCAGGTCAGCTGAGGCATCGGCTGAACCATCTGAAGGGAGTTTCAAAGGCGATCTGGATCGAACATGATCGATGTTGACACGTCGGCCTGAGCAACTTAATTGAGGGGGGAATTTGTCTCTTTGGTTTGGAGGTTGGATGGAAAACAGGAATGAGATGTGCTGAGTATGGAGCAAATGGAGCAAATGCTTGTTGCTCCACATCTTCTTTGCTGTGTTTCTTTCTCTTGGAAGGAAGTGGGAAAGATGCTGAAGCTAAAGAAGCTCAAGCAGCTCAAGATCAGCCTCTCACTTCACCGAGGTGAAGGGCAGCAGCTGCAGCGACGAGTGTTGAAATCTGTTGAAGAAAGAGATTCTGCTTCCCCACCACCTGAGTGATCACCCACTACTTATCTCTACTTGCACCATCTTCATTTTTCATCTATTTCCAGTGCTTCTTTTGTTTCGTGTTCCGCATGGCGCCAACTCAATGTCCACGTGTTTAGCTCTCGTCGTACTCGCAGATGGCCGACCAATAGTGCCCGCCTTCTCCATGAGCAGCAAACCTAGGGAAGCCGGGTGGGCACTGGATGGGCTCGGGCTACAGGAGATGGAGCATTCTACTGGCTACGGAAGTGCTTTCATTTGTGACTGATGGTCTGAGGTTTGGAACAACTCCTGAACAAGAAAGTCAGGCCTGGCCTGGCGAAGAAATTCCTCGAGCGGTATGTAGAAACAGTGCCACGAATCTGCAGATGGCAGCGACTAGAATGGCATTGGCACGCAGTGGCGTCTTGGCTGAAGCTTCCGCTGTGGTGCAGATGCCCCGGTGTTGGTGGATGCCCAGGATCGCCAAGTGGGGGACCTGTGGAGCAGGTGCATCCACCCAGCGAACTGGTGCTACAACAAGCTCGAGAGCCATCTGCGGACAGGGGGAATCTTGCTGAGTTCGCACCTCAAAGGAAGTGAGTTGGAATCAGGATTGTTTGGTCAAGGCGTTTGACTTTGTGTCAAAGCCAAAGCCCACTAGCTAAGAATCCCAAGATGATGCCCAGGCAATATTCAGCACAAGTCATGAATTGTCGGAATAGAACCTTTCCTTTCCTTAAGGCCGTTGCTCTCGAAGACCGAAGAGCAAGCGTTCTTGGCTCGATTTGGTGAGTTTGATGTTCAGATTGGTGCCTCTCTCAAAATGGGGAGGGAGCCCAAGGAGTTGGGTAAGGCCAACGCCCCGCTAGTCAAAGTTGACAAAGACAACTTCAGGGTTGATCTTGTATCAGCTGTCAAACGATATCACAGTTTGCATAACTATACGATACTAAACATTTGTTGGCTAAACTTTTGAATGTCCCACTTTGCCAGGCTCCTCCTGAGGGTGTGTGGCAACGTTTGCGGCTCAGAATGGGAAAGTGGGGGATGTGGCCTCTTAGTTTCATTTGTTTCAAGTGTGTAAAGTTCCATTTTCAGTGAAAGGTTCATTAAGTTTCTATGTGTCAACTGGTCTTCGTCATAGTATGTGGCATTAGTTTCACTGTTCAAGAGCAGACAGACTCTCAGTACTAGCTCCTGACCTGGAGAACCTCGCTTGGACTGCAAGGACTCCTGGGCGCAGAAGCTCAACAGGATGAGGAAAAGATCTCCACTTCACTTCCCAGCCTTGGCTCACTGTGCATGTTGCCGAAGGACAAGCCTGTGAGACGGGCCATTGTAGCAGTGCAGCCAAAGACATTGTGACCCACACCCCCACGTCTAGACGGGCATGTTCGTTCAAGAAGATGTGCGCTTCAAGAAAGGTTTTTGCATGCAGCATCAGCTGAAGATGCAAGGTACTCAAATGAGAGAACATTCTTGGAATGGATCCATTTTGCCACAATCTTGGCTGCATCCGGTGGTAGCCTCAACCGCTCGTTCAGAAGAACTCTATGATCATCCATGCTTTGCATGGAGCAGCTGGGCGATTGGGGGGTTCTGATAGAGCGGTGCCAAGGCATTTTGATGTTGCATGCTACTCAAGAGGCTGAAATCAAGTGAGTTTTGTGGATGTGGTGCCCTCTCGCCTGACCTGTCGGTTTCGATAGGCTGGACATGTGATGATTGGCCGGCTGATGGTGTTGGCTTCTATTTTCTTGGTGGTTGAGCCTCAGTTTCGCATGCCATCAGTGATGTTCAGTTTCGCTTCTACAAGGCTAGTCCTGGGAGATATGACATGCAGCCATGCACCATGCTTAGGTTTGGTCAATGCATGTGTTCAACTGGCGTGCCGATGGTCTAGATTTCAAGGTCGACATGAGCTATGAGGCATCGGGCTTGGCAAAGCAGAAGCTAAGTATGGCTTGCCTGCTGCTGCACAAGAACAGCAGCTAACTAACTCCCTTCCTTCCGCCCTTTGATTGTGGATGAATTGTGGTGCAGCTTGAAGGAAGTTCAGGCCGCTGAAGTGAAAGCTGCTTCTGCAAAACCCAGCCCTCCCCCCCCCTGAATGGCCCAAGTCCCTGAACTGCTGGAGTCCTGCCAGCCTCACAGAGTGGTACCTGCAGTCTGGTTTGGCCTTTTGTGTCTACGATTGCAAGACAGGGTTGCCAACGTTCCTCCCACAATGACAAGAAGCGATGACATCGAAAGGTATGTTGTTTCCTCTTTAGACTCTTGTTGAGCGGCAAAATACTACTGATTTGAAGTGAGTGCAGATTGAATGCCCGCAGCCGAAAAATGTTTAACATCCGAACGCGAACTCCTCAAAAGCAGCCTTTGCCACTGAATCAAACCTTGAACAGTTGAGTCCCCTTTGTTGGGAAAACCGGTGATTGCTTTGCGTCTGTGCCCCCATAGAATCTATTGGCTTGAAAATCACACCCAAAAGGCAAATACGTCTGAGATCGCAGGGTTATATAATCTGCATTTCTCGATTCAAGCAGATTCAGATGCAATGATTCGGTACCTGTCCCATTTGTGAACTTGTACTGTATTGGTCGAGGAGGCGGCGCTTAGGTAGGATTGATACCCCGCCGGAGTACAACCACAGTCAGATATAAGCTTGTGGCCTGGTTTACACAAGAAGGGAACAATGGAGAGACAGGATTAATTGTTTGGTGCGCCTCGGAGCCTGCAATAATAACAGCCTTTCAAATCCTTTCAAAGAACCGTCTCGCCCAGTTTGTGGAATTTTTGGACACGAACCCCGCCAACTAGTTTGGTCTACCTTTCTTGGGACCAATTGTTTTGGCAACACGAACCGCCTTTCTTCCATGTGTCCAGCGTTTTTGTGATTTTCGATGGAGTTGCCTTCTCAGTCCCTCTCTTAATTTCACCAATCCTTCATCCTATGATCCTATTGCCAGGTTAACGCCCTTCTTCAATTATTCAATTCCACCATCCCTCTTTCCGACGTTGGCTGACGTTGGCCCATTGTTGGCTGATGCCTTTTAATGCCTCCTCCAATCAGGATACCTCGCAGGTCCATCCATTTTCCAATCTTCTGTGTACTCATGGGCGAACTTCCTTTCCAATCCTCATCCAATACCCTTCGAGCTTATCTTGGCCACATACAAGGCATCCTGAATCACCCAGAATCACATAAAATCACAGGAATCCCAAAACCACTACCAGAAACTCCTTTCAAAACATGTTCAAGCTCCTCCCTCATTAGTTTGGTCTCCCACATGGTGAAAAATATCAATGATCACCAACCAATAAACTTGTCACCGGCCAATAAACTTGTCCCTTCCAACAAGCTTATCCCAATCTTTCTCCTCCACCTTCCTAACTTCTCCTGATCCTTCTCCGAGACTTCCACCACATAGGTCCTTCTGTCCGAGCTCTCAGCTTCAGCCAGCTCATCCCAATCGAAAATAGACTGGTGCATTTGCGGTCTTTGACTCATCCCTGTCAGCTTCATCCAGCTCATCCCAATCGACGTAGCTTGCTGCATGCACCTTTCCCCCCTCATCCTGCTTCTCATGCTCACGCAATTCTCGCGTCATGTACTTCAATACTCTCATAGGAAACTTTGATCTCTTAAACTGCATCCTTGAAGCATGATGCCTCATCTTTGCAGCCAAATATTAAATATGGGTTCCTGATCATCCCACAACATGGTTCCCACCTCATGGTACCCCACCTCACCCTCCTCGATGGGCTCTAAGTCCAACTCTTCCCAATCAAAGACCGCATCATGTGGTGCCACACATGGCTCATAGTGTTTATTCGCATGAGGCTCTTCATCTGGCACGCCATGCTCATGCTCCTCATGCTTGCCATCCCTTTGACATGGTTCCCCACTGTGCTGTTCACATGGTATCCACATGGTTACTTACCTCCTCGATGGCCGCCAAGTCTGCCCAATCAAGACTGCATCATGTGGTACCAAAGATGACTCATAGCTTCTATAAGGCCCACATTCTCCTCATTCTCATAGCTTCTATAGCTTCTATAATCGTGGTCCCACCTCATCCTCATTCTCCTCATGTTGCTCTTCAAAAGGCCGGTCCTCCTCTCGCTCCTCATTCTTAATGGAAAGCACCTCATACCTAGTCTAAGTGGGAATAGGCTTCCTCATCAGATCTCATCCAATGTGCAGCACTCTCACTCTTCCCATCTCTTTCCAAGATTGGCTTGGTCTTGGCGAAGAGATTTAGTCTTGGGGATCCCTCCTCGTCAAGAGATTTAGTCTTGGTGACCTCTCCTGATTGATCCCCCAAATCAGCCAACCTTCCGGGGGGTTAGGTGAGCCAAGAATTCAAAGTTACAGCAATCACATCTTGGATGCCTGGGGTGTACTGAGATGATATACATACACCAATGCACCATGTATGGTATATCAATTCAGGCATTTCAACATGTTATATCGCTATCTACTTTATACAGGGGCATGTCCTTCAATCCTGTGATTTTTGAGTTTGCCTGGACAACGATACGGGACATCCGATCCAAATGACACCCAGTCCTTGGATGGCCATGTGCAAGAGGGTGTATAAAACGATAGGGGATGTCCCAATGCCACGTTAAACACAGCTCTAATATACATGTGACATGTGTATGATGTGCACATGAAAAACCAGTTGGGCTGAGCCGGGCTTTTCTTCAAACCTAGTGGACTCGGACTGCAGATGAGAGCATGTCAGATATGGAACAGAACACTGTTGTTTGGATGTAGAGACCCACTGGTGTTTGTCATGGTTTCCTTTTTTTCGTCTGTCGCGGTACCAGGTACTTCATTGGCACACACATGTTTGCCCGCATCGTTTCACCCAATGTTGGTGCAACCATTTAAGATTGCTAAGTGTCATATAGAGCAATGCATCTTGCTGAGCCACATGTGGTTGTATTTGGGCTGTGAGTCAAAGCAAGTTATCCTCTGAAACGTTGCTGGTGCCCAGGACCATGTTGGGCCGCTGGCGCTGATTGGCAGCATTCTGGGAGCTTTGATTCTTTCTGGTTTGCATGCCGTCTAGAGCTCAGAATGGAGGGAACCAAAGGGTCCAGCGCAGGAGGGAGCTCAGCAGTGGCCCTCCAAGACCGCTGACCCGACTGGGCCCTCGGGACGAGTCTGGGAATGCTCATGTGATGGCCGACCGGTGTCCTGGTGCTACATGTCCTGACGTTTGAAGTTGTCACTGTCTTTTACTATATTATATACAGTATGTGTCTATGATACTTTGGACGGTCTCAGGCGTATTTCATGGTCATTCTGCCAAGGCCTACTCCGTTGAATAGCTGTTTTGGAAGGCTGCTTATGATAGCTCGTCGGAACGAACGGTCGGTTCACCTTTCTGAAAGGCAACGTCCGAAAACCCCGTAAAGAGCTGTAAATCCACCCCGGGCTAGCCGGGAAGCAGATTGAAGTTTTCGATATTTATTGATACTTTAGGAGCTGAGAGGTCTTGGCTGATGACCAGATTTGCTGGTGCTTTAGGATTTGGATACCTTTTGAATCAGCTTGCCAAGACAAATCATCTCCACGGTCTCACCAATTGTGAGCACATTTGAGATCGTTTCTGCGTAGGAAAAAAGGGAACACTTGTTTCGGGAGCCAGAACAAAAAAGACAGACAGCAGCATTGAAAGTTCTTGAATGCATTCTGCGTTGATGTCTATTGGTTTGGAGGTCTTCACTATTAGGTTGGAGGCCATTGCTCGCTTCTAGGTTGGAGGCCATTGCTTTTAGGTTATGTAATGTTATGTTATGTCTTGGTGCTCCGCCGGGTTTAGCTGTAGTTCTGTGGGCTCAGCCGGAGCTTAGCTCCTTGGCACATTCTGTGCGACGATGGCCATGGCGCATGGGGCTCAGAATCCGAAGCGCTGTGAAAGCTCTAAGGAACTCAAACAAACATAAATTATGTGTGACTCTCACGCAACCAAAATTGAATTATGCCTTAGAACAAACTCAGAATGTGTGTGTATATATGCATAAATTTGATATTTATGAACATTTGGCATGCCACTAAGATTGTGCAAGAGTCATTTCTGTTCCATGAAATCACAAAGTACTATCCCTTTTCCTCAGCCGCCCAGGCTGAGGAAGTGCATTGCAGGGATTCCCACAAGGCTCTCTCTTCGACACAGGTGGTAAAGGTGTTGTGGTGTCTTCCTTGAATGGGCCTCAAGTCCAATTACTGTACTTGGAACCTCTGTAGACTTCGTCTCGTGTACAAGGGTTAGAGAAAGACGCTAAGTTGCCGAAGTTGAGAATCAGCCAACCGGTACAACCAAGACAAGATGTCTTCTCCGCTGCGTCCAAGTGCGTCTCATTGCCGTTGAAACCCGGAGGATGAATCCCTTGTGCCGAGCGGGCACAGCTGGCACAGCCCTTCGGAGCTTCTCGGATGTCTCAACCGATGTGAAGCCCACCAAGAAGGTCACGCTGTCCTTAATGCCAAAGGAGAGATTGGTTTGTCTTCACAGTTTTGATCTGAAGTGTTGACGATGTTGGTCTTGGGCCAGGCAAGATCTTCTCTTGGATCCCGCCTCCGAAGCTTTTTGGCTGGCTTCACCGTTGCCAGGGCGCTGGGTAGTCTATTTTTTGAAGGACAGAAGTGGAGCTAGGCAACATGAAGCTTACACTCCCTGGAACAATCATGGATGTGGAAAGTTGCCCCTTGCGTGACTATTTTCCTGAACAAACATGTACTTTTCCACTTCCATGATTTTTTCAACGAGTGTACCTGTTGAAAGGTAGATTAGGTGTAGCCTGTGTGACAGCCATCATTTTTGGTATTGCAAAGGCTGGGACACTCTCTGGCTACGCCATCTACTACAAGGCAGTGTGACCAGACCAGCTTGCGCCATTTGGCGTGACGCCGGTCGTCGTTGGATGTCGGCGCAGGTCCAGTGGGCGAACGAAGAGCTTGCAGCTATGGCATTTGCCTCGGATTGCGTCATCTGAGCTTTGCAGAAAAATTGGAAGCAATGGCCTCCAACCTACTAGCGATGGCCTCCAAACAATAGCGATGGCC